TTTGATTTGTAACAGAGGATAGATGTAGATGTCTATGGGCCGCAGCAACCACTTACCATCAGGTGGACTGTGTGCTCGTTTGTCACCCTTATACAATAAAAAAAATTCTCAAAGAAATAATGCAGCTATTATTCCACGGAACTGAAGAAAATAGAGTGGAAGTTGTGTGTTTAAAAACATTTTGGATCATCACGCAAAATGAGAAAATAAATAATGTTAAATTATGGTATAATATCTGCAAAGTGTGATATAATTTTGTTGTAATTTATACACCTACACAATATTGGTATAACGATTTAACAATCATAATAGATATTCCTGTTTTCTCAACCATTAAAGCCTATCGAATTCCACTGTGGAACATTGCACGTGACAGGTGGCATTCTCCATAGATAGTCTCATTGGCAGGCGGGTTGAAAACCACAGGTTTTCATTATTATAAGTGGTTATGAGGGAGATGTTACTGCCCGTCTCCTGTTTTATCTCCCTCTATCGCCTCGTTACAACGCCCACAAGATGATATACGGGGTTCTCTAACGCCGTCTCTACAAGGCACGATAAAATAATTATGCATATTGGGTATCCACATAATATTCTCATGTGGTTGGGCTACATAAATATATAAAACAAAATGGTAAATAAATTTGGAAAATCCAAAAGTGCACACCTTGAACGCTCATGTAATGTTTTGAATAATCAATTTACTTTTATTATTTACCGAAACTCGTATTTCGTTTAAAGCTACAAAAAAATGTTTCTGTTTAATTAACACAACATTTTTTTGACTACTTGATACCGATGATTCGTATTTAGTTACCGAAAAAAAAAACTGTCTAATAATAAAAAGTATATATTAACGAACGGAACGGTTTACAATAGTGACATATAAAGGCTTCCTAAGATTAAAATCAAAAGCAAATAAAAAAAGGCAAAGTGATAAGTTCAGTTTTTCGAAAGACATCTTGTTCACATCCATACCGATCAACTCACGTCCAAGTGAAATTATTTTGAATTAACTTTTTTTTACTAATAATCGAAATAAATAATATTATAACTACGTCAGAAGTATTAATTAAATCTCCTCTTGTTGGTGTACTTTTTTTATTATATAACTTTAATATAAAGCTGGTGGAAGTGATTTAAGTTGACTGGATTGCGATTTTTTTATTTGGTGACAATATAGCACTACATTTCCGCTTCGCGTTCGATGTGTGCAATTTACATTAAATATAGTGAAATAAATAAATAAAAACCCAACCAGATGGAAGCCGGGGAGACCAAATGGCCGAGGGTTAGGGGAAAAGAGAAAGAAGACGGCAGACGATGCGAGCGGTGTCGTGGAGCACCGCCTTCTGTTGAGGGTTATTTTTCAAAGAGTAGCCAAATTTTAAACTTAAGTTCAAATATATAAATAACGATATATCGTTATTGCAGTATTTTGAAAATACGAGTAAATAAGGCTTCTACTTTTATTTGAAATTATCCCAAATTGAATGTCACTTACGGGTAACAACATTATTGCCTACTGATCGACCCTTACGCATTGATTTATATGTTACACTAACTCAATGCCGTTATGAATGTGTGCGTGCGCAATAAAATCAGTTAAAATAATGCATTACCACGCATTTAGAATTTAAAAGATAAAAAGGACAGATTTTTTGAGTTTTTTATCAATTTATCTTCACCATTTGCCTACATCACTTATTCTGAACCTTCTATGCAAATTTGGTCGGTTGTTGCAAAATAACACTGTATGTTGTTGTGAATTCTCTTACACCGGCTCTACAAGGCATGGCAAACTTTTCATATTATTATTACTAACATTATTTGTGTGAGAGTAACAAAAGGGACGATAGAACTTCTTTTCCAAATGCCATTCTCACCTGCATATCCATCAAAAATGACGAACCTAAAACCATAGCTGGTGATGGCAAATAGCATAACAAATATTACTATGACTTTTTCTCAAGACCTTCAACACTTCAGTACACGCAGTTTCTTTAGGTGTATATACCTAATTGTTCCTTGTACGTGAACTCAAAATAGAAATATTATTTCGCCTACACTTTACACGAAAATAGACGCCCTACCCTCTTCAATAACTTAGCATCGACATAAGGTCGTAAAGTTGCTCGTCCGTTAAGTTGGGTCGTGACTATCAGCGGAGTTTAATGATGCACTTTGGCCAGTAAATATTTACGTAATGTTAATAAAAGAGAGCATTCATTTATCATCGCTGTTTGTTTACTGTGTTGGGTACGTACATAAATATTCAAACGTTTTCGTTGTAAATTATTAACCGGCGTATATTTTTGCAGCAGTCACTTGTTTTTACAACTGTAATAAAACACTGAAACATGGTATAGCCATGCTGCAGCTATATTAGGGTTATAAGACAACTGGGTCGGCTCCACTGGGGAAGGACCACGGTTCTTGTGGTGGATTCTCTTTACTTTTGTGTATTTTAAAGTGTTATATTGCCTTATTGAAAATATCACAGGTTACTAATATATACTACCCGTGCGGTTAAAGTATTGGATTGAAAAAGGCGTCGCCTCTATTCCCCTCTCGCTCGCACACTGTCGCGACATGCATCTTTTGCACATTATATAACTTCAGTCCAACTTTTCATAAACTTTTAAAAAAATCAGTCCGGTTTCGTTAATTTGTGAGCTACGATGAGTTCTAAGAGTTCTCTTCATAATTATTGTTGATTTCGTTTGTTAATATTTTTCTATTAAATATTTACATACTATTGAGACATAAGTAATCATTTTTAAAATATTCGTTTGTGTGCCTGTCCGAGCTAATTTTCGGAATGGCTGAACCAATTGTAATAAAATTTCACAAACTAATAGAGAGTGATCTAGAGTAAATTTTATCTGAATGACTCAGACTTTATTAAAATAGAAATATTGATAAGATAAAATAAATTGTCTTTAATTATCTTAAGTCTAAATATCGCCATATTAATAGATCATATTTAAATGCTAATATATATATTTTCCCATTAATTAAAAAAATCCAATTAACCGAATAATATAACGTTATAACGATTGTGCACGTTGACCGTATGGGCTCGATGAGCCGCCATTTCTAATCCCATTCTTTATCTGTACGGACTGTATATAAGTAGAACAGATGTTAAATCTCATAGTTCTATAAAATAATATCTGTGTAAAAACTTATACATTAAAAACATAAGTTTCATATTATCCATAGGCCATACCATGATTCAATGTAAGTATATGTATTTTTTGTTCTTTACAATTTTTTTTTAAGAATATCGCAAACCTAAATAAGCAACAGTAGTCTAGCTATTCAAAGGGGGAACGCTGCCAGCATTTTCGGAACCTTGCCTAAAGGGACTCCTTTTTAATAATAAATTTTAGTTATTATATTATACTTTTAAGGTTTTTAGTTTTAGTTTTTTAAGGTTTTTAGTTTTAGATTCATTGTTCTAGTATATATTTTATTTCAATTATATCCTAATAGTAGATTATAAATTATTTGTTATAATAATAAGCAACATATATATCAACATATTTTAAATAATAATTATGTTAACACGACTCGCTCGCAAAGAGGCCCACGGTCGACGACATTATCGCTACAAGCAGCGAGGCAACGCAATAGACGCCGCCCAGACAAAACAAACTGCACACGCCATAGCCATGCGTTTTTTGTTCTAGCTAAAAACCAGTCATTCGACCCCTGCTGCACAATAATTTAACATAACAAAGTCATGCAAGCTCCCAAAAGCTAACAAAGTGAATCCATTTAACTGGCTTGTGTTTAAAAAAAAACTGTTAAATCATTTTACGGACAAACTAAGAAATTGCGCTGCAATAACTCTCAGCAAACGTAATTTAAATAGCAGTGTTCGCGACTTTTCCACGTTAATGCAAGATTAACGTGGAAAAGTCGTTAATTGTTTTTAAGTCCATTATTGTGCCGAGAAATTCAAAAGTTTGAGATTTAAAATATTTTTTTAACTTCATGTTACAAGTGATTCTTTTATAGAAAAGAACAACTGCAAACACTAGCGGCATTAGTGAGTTACATCAATATATTATATATAAATAGAAAAATAAATCGGAAGCTATAATTCAAAAATTTGAAATTAAACTGCTTTTTCACTTTTGAATAATTACTTTTCTACTTCTATCAGAGCAGGATGCTAACTATACTGACTGTGTAACGTAATAATAGCAGTAATATTGAGTTGCCGGAATAGGCAATTGGGCTGATTAGGAAGATGCGCTCGCAGTCTTCTATCATTTTCTCCTAAAATAAATTCTATGAATGGAACGCATTTAATGCTTTCGAGAATTTTCCTGTCGAAAGATATAACGGAAGTAAATATAATATACAACATTAATATAACCAACTTTTATACTTTCGTGTGTGGTATATACCACAGAAAATTGCGATAACTCTATTTAGTTTTAATTAGCAGCAAACATCGTATTATGAGCGTACCTTGGGCGGTGGACAGAGATTATCAAACTCTATAGCACACCAAAATCATTTTGTACAATTGACAAACTTCATAGTAGTTTTTTACGCGGTAGAGCCATGCTGCAGCTATATTACTCGTATAGTTGTAGCACGAATGGGTCTACTCGAACGGGGAAGAACCACGCTCTCACAGAATACCAGCATAAAATAACAGCTTAACACTGCTGTGTTTCGTATGGTGAGTGTAGAGAACCAGACACCCTTTTTACTAGAAACAAGGCATTCCATCTTAGTAATCCCGGGGAACAACACATGTGCATTTTGATTCGTAATTGAGGATAGATGTAGATGTCTATGGGCCACAGCAACCACTTACCATAAGGTGGACTGTGTGCTCGTTTGTCACCCTTATCCTATAAAAAAGAATAATGTTTATCAATAATAATAATATACTACGAAAAAAACTTCGTTCCAACCGAGTCTTCCACGACACTCACGCACATTTTTTGTTAAATTAAGTTGATAAATTTACTCACCCATGTAAAGTGGCGATTGTTTGCTTCCAACGTTGTCATCGACGTAAGGTATACCCAAAGTGGCGATTCCGGTTTGTCCCACACCAACCACGAGAAGGCAGATGAATAGCCAAGGAATAACGACCGCGGTAATCGATGACCTGGTTTCTGAGCTCTTTACTTGAGCGTCATCACATTTGATTAGAGATGAGTTCTTGTCTACAGCACAAACTGGCCCCGCACCGGCCGTGTGCGAGTCTAAATGCACCTCTAGCAACTCAGTGCCATAGTACATGTGAGGCATCATGCAACCGATAACTCCGACAGCGAGCACGAGCATCATACAAGCAATCCATCGCGGCCGGTGGCCACGACCAGCCAGATAAGTAAGGAACAACGCCGTGCATATCTGTCCAATTTCTGTCGCCGCTAGTAGCGTGCCTGTCGTCTTCGACTCCACTTTAAAGAGCTTCTCAATTGTCGTTGTCACGCTCACGAAATAAGTGAGAAACATGCCCTGCAGCACCCAACCCGAGAGAAATACCAGCATGAAGACGCGCGTCGAATGGAAGGCCGTTCGCGACTCGGGCTCCTGCTGTTGGGGCAACTTGCAATCAAGGGATCCATTGTTATTTCCGGTCGCTAACCGTTCCTGTTCCTCTGGTGTTGCCTCCACGCCTTTCATTGCGCCGTCTTCGGCGGCCGGGCCAGTGGGCCCTGCTTGGCCGTCCGCTGTGACTGTTGCAGCGGTGGCTGCCCTGCGAAAATAAAACAGCAAACGTAAATTTTTAAGACATATTATAAAATAATTCTATTAAATTAAAGAAACTCACGCCATCGTTAATAGAAATAGACAACAGATGCTAAAGCCCCTAAGGAATATAATTCAACCGAGCGGAAAAGGAACGCACGCAAAGCGCCGTCGGCCGCGACCACGTTTTCTGATAACGGGCTTGACGCGGACTGTGCTCAACGATCGCGAAAACAGGTAAAGTTATTGGTTGGCCGCCATACTTCTAGGAATTGAATCGCGTACCGGCACCGTGAGGGTTGGTGAGGCTGCGTGCGCGCAGCCAGCCCGGCGGAGAGAGACTGCATCGTGCAATTACCGGCGCAGCGCAGTGCACCCGCAGCCCGCCCCTCGACTTCTCCCGACGGGGTTTTTATTGGCTGCCTATCCGTTTTTTGTGCTGCACGCAATTACACACGACGAAAGCTGTCCGTGCACCGCCCTCCTCGGAAGATTCCCTCTCGCCTCGAAGCTATACGGAATGTCTTTGTTTCATTGGCGACGCTTTTTAAGCTCGTCTCTATTTACATTTAACATGTAATTCAAATGCAGGAGAACGCGTGAGATGTCTCTCTGGCGCTTTTTCAAATATGCTAATGATACCGAACGTGATAATGCCGCAGACATCATCGTAAACATAAAAACAATGTGTACAATGGACGGAGTGTATTATATGAAATTGCACCTGCATTGATACTAATACCGTACGTAGGACGCCGACACTAGGTTCGCAATAGCATCAACCGTGGAATATTAATGAGTGCGACTCGTATGGTTAACTGGACTTGCGAAACTCACCACTTGGGGGCCGATGACCACCGGTGACACCGGCGGTGGACGTCGTACTACGGCGTTGAGACTACCGGTTTCAACTGTGACTATTCCGCTGATAACAGCAATTGTAAAAACGCACTTAAAAACACACGCGCGTAATAAACGGGGATGGGTATTAATTTTTCGCGTGTACTGATAATAATTGAAGCTTATGGATAACTACATTCCAATATAAACGCATGAAGTTGCGCGGGATATCGACGAATCCCTATCGCGACGGCGATAACGGGACGTGGCAAATAGTCTGGTCACTTGTGAAGCGGGTTACTGTCCGGACAACCTTAAACACAGTGTCCTATTTATCGCTGTCGCACTAGTTTAACGTAAAACATATAGGTATGTCATATATTGTTTAAAAAATAGGGTATTTTTATGAAACTGATGCGGGAAAACTTTCGGAAGCGAATAATAAATATTTATGTAAACGAAAACATTACGAAAGTCGTAATTTTTTATGAATATTAAAACGGTACTTTCTTCCTCTGAACAAAATTAACAGAAAATATATATTTGAAGCTCTAACATGTAATAATTTTTACTTAGGATAATAATATTAATATAATATATATTAGCCTTATCTTAGTATAAAAACTAAACCTAGATTACCCGGCCAAATACTTTAAATATGCGGTAGAGCCGTGCTGCAGCTATATTATGGTTCTAACACAAATGGGTCAGCCCGACCGGGGAAAGACTACGCTCTCATAGAATAGACGCTTAATGCTGCTGTGTTTCGTATGCTGAGTGTAGAAAACCGGAGACTTTATACTGGAAACGGGGCATTCCATTTTAGACCTCAGGGATGACAACTAACCTGCATTTCGATTCTTAATCAAGGATCCACTTACTATGAAGTAGACTGTGTGTTCGCATGTCACCATTATTCTATAAAAACTCGGGTTTAGTTTTATACGTAGGCTAATGTTCCAAATAAGGTTAATTTGCAGTAAACCTTTTCACCCTTAGTCGAATAATGTAATGTGCACATGTGCGGGTGAAATGGTCCAACTCAACCGCCTACACTAGTTTTAGCCATAATTGAATCGAATACAACTTTCATTTTGCTTCTACATTTTAAACATTAACACGGTCTGGCACGAAAAAAAAACACTAGCTTGCGCTGTAAACTAAATCTTTTTTTTATAGGATAGGGTGACAAACGAGCACACAGTCCACCTGATGGTAAGTGGTTGCTGTGGCCAATAGACATCTACATTTATCCTCGATTAAGAATCAAAATGCATATGCGTTGTCACCCGTGAGGACGAAGATGGAATGTATCTTTTCCAGTAAAAAGGGTATCCGGTTCTCTACACTCACCATAGCAGTATTCGTAACACAGCAGTGTTAAGCTGCTATTTTACGCTGGTATTCTGTGAGAGCGTGGTCCTTCCCCGGTCGAGCCGACCCATTCGTGCTACAACTATACTACTAACCTAATTTAAAACCGGTAATCTAAAGTTTATTACTTACATTAACAATAACTTTCACGTTCTTCATATAACCAAATAATATTGTTCATATGTTCAGATTATACCACGACGAAAATAAAGAGAATAAAGATTGAGAAAACAATATATGTACTACTGCTATCACAAAATGTTGATTGAATGTTAATTTTTATACTCCAACACACTGACTTCGCCATATATTTAAACTTAAGATCTGAAATTCAGTTTTTTTTTTTTCGAATCAACTACAACAACAATAGGACAAATAGGAGCCTTAAATTATTTTTACTAATGTATATAAAATATAAGTATATTTAAAAAAATACTACTAAAGTGTGTAATATGATTGATAATAACCAACGGGAATGAGGTGAGCACTACCATGCTGTTTCTAAATGTTTCATATTTAATTATATAAAACATTATATTGTAAGCTAATGTTTATAAAAAATGTCTCGCTGGGTTTCTTGCTGGCGTCTGAACCAGTGGGTAATCTATATTGAATAAAATGATTTTCATCAGTCACCATAAATTAGCGTTTTGCTGAGTTCGGAACTGAAATTGTTCTTTACCTTGTATCGATGTGTGTCAGTATTGTGTGGCAATTTAGGCGTTCAGATACGACGTAAAGGATCCCTTTCAAAGCGGAGCGGGCCCTGTCTGGCGCGTCTGGACAAATGTAATTGGCGACAATGTTGTATGAAAGTCAACCCCGCACGCAACGTCCATCCACAATAAGGCTCGAGGACAATAACTGACGATTTATTTAATCTCTCATCGCGATTGAGTCGCAATGAATCATTTGACTCGAACGACGAAGGACCTATTGGTATGAATTGAATAAACTATCGTGTCAACACAACATCATAAGAAGTAGATGTATTCAAATTTAAGGCTCATGTGGACAAAATCGTATAACAAATTATGCACGTGGCAGGAAACGAGAAATTGCCCAACATCGTGTCCTCACTTATAATTCAGTGACATTACAATATGAACGTCCGACGAACTGACAAACGATAATGAAGAAAATCTCCACGTCAACCTACATCAAAATTATGAATAAAAGAAAAAAGCTGATGATACGTAAACATATAGAATAGTAATATATAATTCCAGTGTACGTGTGTTTGTCACTAAACTCCCCCTAAACGGTTGGACCGGTGTTGATGAAACTTATTGTGTGTGTCCCTAGATGGTTTAGATTCTCAATTGGACCCGGAAGGTGGCGCTGTTTTCAAGATCAAGAAATCACCCGTGCGAAGCCGGGGCTTACTAGTAGAACTATATAAATAGTATTATTAAAAGTGGCAATGTTAGAAATATATATATATATATATATATAGTTATGGTAATTTATTAAAAAGTATATTCAAAAGCGTCATTAAAAGGTGTATTAAGTCGATATATGAAAAAACAACAGAACCAAAGCAACTAAAAAATACTAAGCCAACGCTTAACCCGAGCCAAGCAAAAAATAACAAACAATGAACATTTTAATGAGCATGGAGAAAAAAAAGAAACGATCGAATCCAGATAAATATACATTTATAGAAACTTTTATATATATATAAAGATAAATTACATTGATAATTCAATTCGATAATGTTTTCTAAAAAAATATAGGAATACATTTATTCGGAAAGACTTTCCGCACCCTATGTAATGTTTATTCGATAAAATTGGAGGTAAGCTCGGATGCAGTGGACAAACTGAGATTTAACACAACCCGCGGCGTTATATCTAGATCCTCTGTCTTGTGGTCCACGAAGCACGAGGGAGACATAAAATTATTTCATATGGAAATTATTTCATAAACGTTTTTGAAACTAACTTTACATCCCAAAACTGGGTCTAAAGACGAACAAACAGAGAGTAGAGTAGTAGTAAAGACTTAAATATAGAATTATTTGTATTCTTCGTACCATGTATCTTCGTCGTCGTCTTCAAGTCGTCATGTATGGGTAATGAAAAATGTTTAATACGATAGCTCTGTGCCAAATTTAAATAATTTGTAAACAATTCGACAAAAATAACTTTTACGTTTTGTTTATTGAATGGAGTTTTGACCTTAAAATGACGATCATATATTTATTGTTTAAAAAAACAAAAACCTGTCAGGCAGACATCGACTTAAACTGTAAGTAACGCAAGGTTAATTTCACTCATATAAGTTTTTTCTCTATACAAATGACATCTGTCTTCACTATTCTTTACATTATTTTTAAAAAAAAAACTGAAATATAATAAAACATAAAAACTCCACGAACATAATCTCCCCAACCCTTCAAGGACGACACGTCCTTAAACTCTTGGGCAAGGCGCACAATTTCGATGACATCCGCGTAAACTATTCTGAAGCAGTTCGTACATCATACGTACGTATTATGTTATCAGCGGTTGCATACTTCTTAGTCTTAGTAATTGTCACTTACTAGGTAAGTCTTTGTTCTTTCATTGGCACTAGTTCTCCGACGCTCAACTCTCCAGCCTGCCACTTTGGTCTCTGCTGCATTCTCGATAAGTATTAATTCTGCCATCGTTTCCAAAAAATTTGCAATCTTTGCTGAATCTTTCGATATCGTGTCAATGAATGTATATTGTATACTC